TAAATTGCTTACTGTTCAAAACCTGTACAAATACCACTGTATATCTGAGATATTTCGAATTATGAAATTTCGCACTCCATACTCGTTGTATTGTACTATAGACTTATCAAAACGTGATACAAGTAATGTCATAATCCTCCCAAGAAAAACCAACACGTTTCTTTATATAGCCTCCAAATTGTGGAATAGCATACATAAACGGATTCTAAATGAGAATGGGGAAATCCTCACTACTTCTGTATCTTTGGTTAAATTACGCTGTAAAAGTATCATCCTGGGATCCCAATCCATCAACAATAATAACACCTGGACTTACCACAACTTTCACATCGCCCCTCACTCAGTCACAGCCAACTTAGTGCTTAAACATGTCTCGATTTATATGAAATGTAATCTACTTCATATCAACATGTCAAAATGCTGCTACATCCATTTTAAACCTGCCTCTGAATATGATGACACTTGTGCACGGACTAGACCATTTGCTACCCTGCTAGATGAATCTAGATCAATATTCATCAATGGTAAGGTTATCACTAAAGTCAAGGATACCAAATTTTTAGGTGTTGTTATAGATAGTAAGCTAAACTGGTCTGCTCACATGCACTACATCCGTAAAAAACTGAGGTCCATGACTGGTGCAATCTGTAGAATTCGGCACTCGATACCTGCTGAACTATATTTAAAAATATATAATGCTCTATTTGAATCACATCTAAGTTATGGTATAAGTGTTTGGGGAGTTGTCCTCAAAGAACGGTCAAATGATAGTCTTTTTATCACACAGAAGCACTGTATAAGAATCCTTTTTGGTGATCTCGACTCATATCTAGATAAACAATCAACATGTGCAAGAACTAGACCATATGGCATGCAAATACTAGGCCATAAACATTTTGAAAAGGAGCATACGAAACCCATTTTTAATAGGTTAAAAATTCTTACGGCTCAAAACTTGTACAAATATCACTGTATTTTAGAATTCTCTAAGATTATCAAGTACCACTGCCCATACTCCCTTTATGAGGCTATCAACATTTCAAACCGTGCAACGAGTCTAACAGTTATTCTTCTAAATAAATCAAATACCTTTTTGTTTAATGCAGCCAAGCTTTGGAACACTGTTCATAAAAAAATTTTAACTTCAAGCAATTGTCTAGAAACTTCCATTAACTTGATAAAATTGAGAACGAAAGCACTATTAATACAATCACAGGCTGCTGACTTAAAAGAGACTTGGACTCCAAACAATTTTAAGTTACAGTAATTTAATCTAATTGCAGCGGCACATAACATAATTTAAACTATTGCTATCATTATTGTACTACAGACTGAAAATATCTCAGATCTATTTTGGGCGTTTTTAACAACTTGTAATTGTAATTCTTAAATATTAGATATCCTAATTTATAACTTTTTAATCAGAGTGAATTAATAATTGATATTTGATAATTTATTTATTTGATAGTTTAGTTGATATTGATATTAATATTGATTATATTGATATTGTTATTATTGAATGAAGCTAACTCCAGACATAAATAATACTACTTCTATTAACAAAGGGACTTGGAGTATAAACGACCAATTTTGCATAATTGTCTTTCCAACCAAGAATTCAGGAGGCAAGGGTGGGTGCGTAAACTTTATGGTCTGCACTCTCAGATCCTGTATCACCCTGGATTCATTTCGATGTATTTTTGGTAAAAGTATACATATACTTTCTGGTCACTCTCTTGCTACTCCAAGTCCCCTAAGATATATGGTCTAAAGTTTGCACTAGTTATATATATAAAATATGTTTTTGTCTGCTTTAACTGATACTAAATAAAATTGTTGTTTTCTTGAAATTGTTGTTTTCTTGACAGACCAAACCAGTTCATCACTCACTCACCAAATTGCCGACCCAATATCTATTGAAGTGGCGAAAATTGTCTAGACAAATGACATATCCATATTATTGCTGCAGCAGATACAAATACCAACATTATTATATTCCCAAACGTTTGAACCATTAAATTAACTAGGAAATTCAATCCTCAACTTAACATTTACTGTTTTAAACTAATATGATGATATTAACTTAACTTATTTTTTTAAAAAACATACTCCTTCTTAGTGTGGTGACTGGGGCCATAAATATAACAATACAAGCTGATAAACCAAAAAGAACAACTGGGGTAGGTAGGTAGCCCTGGTGGGTGCGTAAACTTTACGGTCTGCTCTCTCCAAGATCAGCCTGCTTCTCCATTTTACCATGAAGCCTAATTTCTAGTTTTTATAAATACAATGCAAGTGCAGGTTTACTAATCTTAATCTACTTAACAACTCAATAGCCCAAGTCACCATACCCGTAGTATATTCCATGGTAATAGAAGAAGTTTAAAGTTTGCTATAAATCGGCCCAGTAACGCCTATTTTAATTAGAACCCTAATTCGCTCGCCAAAAAATTTCACGTGACTTTGTTTTTTATGGTTTTACATCCGTACAAAACGGTTTTACATAAACCCTAATCCCAACCCTAACCATAACCTTAATTGACGATATCAATTCATCGCAGCTCGGCGAGGCACTGTAGCGCATTTCGCCGATCTAGCGCTAAGCCTCATGCATTGAGTCCGCGGCGCGGTACAGTAACGCATCGTGCTACAAACCCCAGGCTATTATGTTCACCATAAAAATAAACTTGCTCGGATTTAAAAAATTTTTGTACCATTGTTTTCTAGAGACTGTGAGAATTTTCACAGTACCAAATTTGTCATACCTTTTTGGAAAGATCAGTGAGTTTCGTCTAGGTGCCATATTTGATGGTGCGCGGCTTTTGGAGCAAAATTAGCTGTAAAAGTCGCGTAATTTGACCAAATTTGACCAAATTCGTTGATTTTTGACGTATTATTTGGATATATCTTCAGTTCCTTGAATGAGATCATTCTGAACATTGTTGACGACCTTCCAATAGGGCTTTCACAACTGTCCGAAAAATTTGGTAGATATCGGGGTTGATATAGTGATCAAAATGGGGAAAAATACGCTGCTTTTAGCTGTAACATAATGTCTAATTAGTAGAGGCTGTTACGGGCAAATATCACGCTTTTTTGCTCGAGCCCTGGGACTTCTTTTAGGGTTCTTATATGATAGAATGGAGTGTACTGAACACTCTGACGGTATCGGGAACCTTCTAGAGCCCTCAGAAGCTGTGTTGTGAGCACTTTACTGCCAAAACTTCGGACATCTACAGACACCGGAATATCGACTAGAAATTTTTTCTGAGTTGTTCCCCTAATTTCTCTTAGGTTGCTTAAGCCCCAGAAAGTGTCAGATCGTCTAAATATTGCTCCATTCCGGTGTTAGAGACCTCGAAAATTTCGACCACGTAGAACGTGTTGCGCGTCGTATGTAGTGTTTACAATGAAAAAAGTGCACTTAAATCTGATTCGGTTGCGGCGCGTGACGTATCTAGCACGATATTTGCTCAAAAGCGCGTCACTGCGCCAGAAACCTCGTGGTACCGTAACGCTGTAGAAAATAGATAATCACAAGAGACACAATAAACGTATCATCACTATGCAAAGTTAATGTTAAAATGATACAATAGCCCTGCTTTAACAGATTAATCCACATAAACACTATATTTCTACAGATGCCACCGATCGGTAAATCGAACATGTTTTTGAAGATAAATCGTCTTACGGAACGATAGCTGATAGAATTCGTTTCTACATTGAAAGATTTCTTTTCTAATCTCCGTTATGAGTGCTGTCTTTGTTAAAGTGTTATCATCTCTATCCGAATCTATTGTTGCGGCAAGATTAGATACAAACTCGTCTTACCGACATTGTCTTTCTGAAAACTGATGTGATCAGATTAAACATTGCTGGAGTTTGCAGCGTTCTCAGATAAATTAGATGTCACATATTCATTGTACTTAAGCTTCAGGTCAGACACGAGGTACAGTTCTGGTAAAACATTCTCCTGCTCCAGTTAAAAGGTCTGTACAGCGTCAATACCTGCACTCATTAATGCAGCATTGGTGTTGTCGTGCGTGGACACGTGTCTTTCCATTTTAAAACAGGTTTTTAGAGACAGGTTTTAAACTTACAGCTCCAGATAATTTACCCTTCAATTGTTTCACCCTCGAGTTGCTGTACCTCAAACGACACGTTTTGTGATATCTACCTAGCTTGCTATAGAGATATTTTCCGAGACTCTCAGGGTTAAGAACAGGGCACTTGTTCATGTGCGAATCAGGATTAACATCGATGTTGCACAGATCCTGACGATTTCTGTAGATGTCCACAGATAGTATGTTGCGAAATCGACGAAGAAACTTTTATCTTTTCCTTGAATCAGACTATCCTTTTTCGTTTCTAACGTCTAGGGAAATTCGTATTGTTAAAGAAGAATAACCTCTCATACTCTTAAAATTAAATCGAGATAATATATGTATAATAATTATATTTGCGAGCAAAAGTTTCACACAAACCTGTTCAACCTGGCATATGAAACACAAGTCTCAGTCCATTTCAAACAAATCAACATCTGGTCCACTTGATTGGGAACTAAATGAAGAAAGTCTCCACATTTTCTTAGTTCTATTCGAGGAGGCCGAGGGTGACAAAGGCGGGACTTTTTCCACTTGGATGGCAATAGCTTCTTCAATCTTCATCACAAGAGGATTCGTCAATTTCAGAAACAGCACTGTACACCTGCAAATACTTTATTACTTCCCACATTTATATCAACAGTATCATATCACATAAGTTTGAGATCGTACAAGTGTTATATCATTTTAAAAGTTTGCAAATCCGATAGAAATGGATTAAAAATTACTACTCGCTGTCTATTTAACTTTGAATAATAATGTTTTTAAATGTTAGTAAAACAGGAGGAAACCACTCACCCTGTTATAGTTGTCTTTTACATAGGTCAGGTAGCGTAGTTGGTTAATCATCGGATTTGTAATCGTGAGATTGCGAGTTCGAAACCCACTGCCTGCCTAGTCGTGGGGTGAGTGTCGTCGACATTCAGCTAAAGATCCTGAGTGGTCTATGCAGCCCCCCGGTATACTCAGCCGAATATTCGAGAAATCGTGTGTGAGGGTTAAATGAGAAGCTGTCCATTGCAGCGAAGTCTTGGGCAAAGAAAGTATGGTACACACTACCTTAACCGTCACTGGCCTAATTAAATCCTTCGGCTTCCTGTAATTGGCTAGTTACACTTGTGTAACAATGTGGCTGTTGGAATACTCCGAAGTAAAATAAGTGTGAGATAAAAAAAAAGTTAAGACACTGAATACACAAAAAAGAGGTTTGCTTTGGTGAGCACAACCCAGGATTGATCTTCTGCAGCAGGGCGAGGAATTCTCTAGACTGTTTTGTCATTCGTTCACTTTCAGAGCGGAAGAAAACTGTTTCATTAAAATCCTTTATTTCTATTCGGGTACAGATACAGCACTCTGAAAATTGATGAATGATCACATTTTTGTATACCCTACGGCAAAGTCTTATGTCTGTGGTAAAAGAATGATATTCTTTAAATAGTTTTTTATTAAAGCCTAAACTTAACTTCTACCAATTCAAAATTGTTTACGTCGGTCTCCCCTCCTTGAGCCACTTTTCACATAGCTATTGAGTATAAATCACTCTAGCACAAGCGACTTTCAAACCCCCTCCCCTAGGCTGGATTAGGTTATATGTGAACTGTGCTCTAGTGCATGACTGACTTTACATAATGCAGAGCATGCAAAGTTTTGATGTTTCATAAACTTATGAATAAAGTTTTAAAAATCGTGACATAAAAAGCAGTGGTCGCCCGGTGCCCCGGCCAAAATCACAACCCCCAGCCCTTCCCGGCCCCGGCCAAAAATTGGCAATTCGCCGGGGGTAAACACCGGCCCCGGCCAATAAATTTAACCCCGGCCAATTCTCAGTGGTCAGCCCGGGGGGGATACAACGGTCATTAATGTGCATTAATGGGCATAAATGGGCATAAATGGGCATTAATGTGCATTAATGTATATGCATATTTCAGCAAAATTCTATAATACTGACATTAATGACCGTTGTATGCCCCCCGTCAGCCCCAGCCCCGGCTATATTGGGGCTCCCCGGCCCCGGTCAGAATCCTGCCCCCGGTCGACCACTGATAAAAAGTTAACTCACTGGATTTGTCCAAAAGCGAGAGAAAGTACTGAGAAAGCACTTATACGTCACCACCAGAGGGCCTAGAGAGGTTATCTTTGTCTGTTTAATTGAATATTGAGTATATAATATGAGATTTAAGATGAACATGATAGATATAATGTCCAAATTCTAAAGTTCCACCAAAATTGAGTCACATTAAACTTGGTTAACACAACAATTTTCTTCATTATAGTAGGTGATTTGACATAATGAAGTGTAAACTAAATTATTATTTATAATAATTACCTGTCGGAGGGATTTAAGTGTTCCTTTGAACAGTCCTTTTCTGGAAGGTTGAGAGCTTTCAATACATCCAGAGAGCCAAATTGGATTTGTCCTTCTTTCGGGCATTATATGCAGTCTTTGATATGATGCCTTGTACATTTTGAAACCCTGCAGTTATCATTATTCAATACTTATAGAGCCTTAGATAAGGGGTTAGGGGTCGTTCACATAATATTGTGTAATTGCAATATAGTAAGGTTACTGTACATTTCCAACCCTTTGTCATGTATATCACAACAGATGATGTTAAAAGCATAATAATATTATGATACAGTTTTACAGTTTTTGTTACGTGTTGATAATCTAGCTCTTATCTCTATTTTATCGCTACATTACAACTGCCGGTTGGATCACTGAACTCGCGAAAGCTACGAACCAGTGACAATAAATCTGAGTTTTCAGTTGAAACGTTCAAAAAGCCAGTGAAGTCAGTTTCAGTAAAACATTTGTAATTTGTATTCTGCGTATCAGACTACCGATAATCATGTAAGTACGTTTCTGGATAACAAGAAAGATATGGAGGAGTTGAAGAGCGATCTTATCCGATCGCAAAGTACTGTTATCAAGCTGCATGCTGAACTTCTGGAAACTAAATCGAAGCAGTTGGAATCCGTGCACTCTAACGTCAAGACCGCCGTTCAAGACACTGTCCAAGCTGAGATGAACTCATACAGTCAAGCTGTGACTAAAAATGCACCTGTGCTTGCAGAAGAGAGTTTAAAAAAGGTTGTACAGAATTGTACAGAATGCTGTATCGGAAGAGGATCGCAGTAGGAATGTGCTCATCTTTGGTTTGAAGGAGACTGATGAAGAGGAACTGTGCAATAAAGTTACCGTGATTTTTCAGCAGATTGAAGAAAAACCACGTTTTGAAGCTATCTGGGTTGGGAGAAAATCAGCCAACAAGACGAGACCAGTCAAAGTTTCGCTAGGTAATTCTAACTTACCGTTCATGAGATATTAGTAAATGCCAAAAAGCTGAGACTGTGTGAAGATCATAAGACTGTTTTCATCTCTCCAGATCGATCACCTGAAGATCGAGCTATCCATCAGCGGTTGGTCTTGGAAATGAAACAGATAGCCAAAGCAGGCATGGCTCCACCGTGTAGGTTCGGGTGGGTGCGCACTGCGCACCCACCCAAAGGATGTTGCACCCACCCAAACGATTTGAAAATGTTCACACAAAAATTGTCAAATTTTGTATAAACTAAGGGTCAATTGACTTCTGTTATCAATTGAGACTGTTTTGGAGATATTAAAATACGTTTAGGAGAGTAAAATTCCAAAATTTTCCAGGGGGCTTCACCCCCCCCCCCCCCCCCCCCCCCGCCGTGCGCCAAGCTGCACCCACCCAAAGTTTTTGAGCTGGAGCCATGCCTGAGCCAAAGAAGACACAAAAAAACATTATTATATCAGAAGTGGTAATATTTGTAGTGAGGACAAGATGTTAGAGAGTGATACATAATAATGAGTGATATACATCCATAAGTTTTTAATTTTGATTGTTGATATAAGCGGGATAAAAATAATTTATTTCATTTGTATTGGACGGGACATACACATATTACACAAAGATGCTACGTATGGTGCTGGGTATCTCATGGAAGGACAAGGTCAGCAATATAACTTTGTATGGTAGTCTACCAAGGCTGTCAAACAAGTTACGAAGCAGGAGACTAAAAATGGCGGGACACTGCATCAGACATCCTGAGCTACTTGCCAGTGATTTAGTCTTATGGAAACCTATGCATGGTAGAGCACAGCAAGGCCGACCAAGACAAAGCTACTTGTCTATGTTACTGAAGGAAATTGGGACAAACTCAAAAGAGGAACTGTGAACCCTGATGCGGGACAGGGATATATGGAGGGGGTTATCTGGCGTAGATCGGACTTAGTTCCGAAAAAATAGTAGTACCTATTTCATTAATAACCTGCATAGTTGAAAAGTTGATTGATGTAGTTTCGATAAACAGGGCGTCGTTCAACTCCACTCATTTCGTTCCAAGCTGGAATGTAGTATTGTTTAGTGTAGGTTTGTTCATGTACCTCTCATCATCAAAAGGTTTCAACTTATACAGCATCGATAACATCATCTAACAAAGCTGTTTGAACAACTTAAGATTCAGTTAAAATTACATTATTCAGATACAGTTTGTGAAATTAAACATTGTCAGCCTGTATTTAATTAATTATAATAATTATGGTAATTTAGCTAAAAATCAAACCATTTGAGTTTTCATTGTTATCAAAATAATGTCGATCTAAATTCGTCTTAATCTGCATGGCTGTGAGCGGATCGAAGTCTTTTAAACAAACCACACAAGCTTCTTTCATTAAGAAGATTCTTGAAGTGATCCGAATGTACACAGAGAACTGTCTTAGCTAGTTCTGGGTCCATAAACATGTCACCTTCTTTCTAATGGTGATTGTCAAGTTTGTTCAGCAACATAATTCAGAATTACAGAAATTATTTGAATCTACTAGAGATGAAATGGCTTAAATAACAAGCAATAGATGTAACTAAACAATTAAATACATATTGTAGTTTGACTACTTCTTTGAAACAATCAAAGAACGGGGAGCTAAGGGAATGATTGCTCAAAACGAATGATATCTTCATGAATTCAATGTGCAGCATCTATACATTTATTCGAAATTAGTGATGGATGAGGGGGTTTAAGTCAGGCATTCCTGACATTTACTCTGATGTCAGGGGCCTTTTATATATTATATTTGAGTATAATACATTTTACCTTATAATTAACCATCACTCCCGTCTAGGAAGTACTATGTATTTGTGTATGTAATTGAGATCGTATCAGCGCCTTTCATTCTACTCAACGCGTTTCATTCTCATATATGTCAAGCTTGTTTAGAGTAGAATGAAACGCGTTGAGCAGAATGAAAGGCGCTGATACAATCTCAATTACATACACAAATACATAGTACTTCCTAGACGGGAGTGATGGTTAATTATAAGGTAAAATGTATTATACTCAAATATAATATATAAGGGTCCCCCACTTTTTAATGTCTGCCTCAATGTGGCTGCTGAGAGAACAGAAAGCAACAAAGTGGTGTCCCACGGAGCGGTTCTTCAAAGATCTATCAGTCCGCTTGTTGATGATATCACTGTGTTAGATACAAATTATGCAGATGACATGGCTGTACTGGATAACAGCGAGGAAGGTCTTCAAGAAACAACTGACCTTTTGTGTATGTATGGTGCCCAGGGAGGTCTTAGAATCAATAGTAAAAAGACTGAGGCTATGGTCATTGGTAAAGCAACCTCTCAACGGCCATACACGAAAGAAGCCACAGTGAACATCACTGTTGAAGACACGCCAGTGCAGCAAGTTAGTGACTTTACGTACTTAGGTACAATTATTTCCAGCGACGGTACTATCGACCGTGAGCTGTCAGCTAGGATTCAGAAAGCTTCCGGAGCCTTCAATCAACTGAGTAATATATGGAAAAACCGCAACATCCAGTCTTATACAAAGATCAGGATTTATAAGGCAGCGGTTTTGACAATATTGTTATATGGTAGTGAGGTTTGGAACACAACCAAAAAGCAGCTACATCGCTTTGAGGTGTTCCATCAGCGTTGCTTGAGGAGAATACTTAGGATAAGATGGCTCGATCGGGTTTGCTGGAAGATGCTGCAGCGTTTACAGGAAACACTGACATAGACCTAGAAGGAGCGAGTGAGATGGCTAGTGACCGCAAACTTTGGAGGGAGATGATACGTCACAAACGGGAGTTCATTGGTGCAGGCCACTCGAATGATTGAGGAGACCTAATCAAGTACAAGTAAGTATGATATATAAAAGGCCCCTGACACTACTACTATTTATAAATTCAAAATCATGTTAAGAAGATAGCAGCAACTAATCCATATTATTTACAGTGCTCTATTTTATGTGTACTGAAGAGTGCCTTTACAATATTCCACTTTGTGGTGTAGATTTCCTCCATATCCAACAGGCAACACTGAATGAGTGATGGATGAGGGGGTTTAAGTCAGGTGTTCCTGACATGTATTCAAAATTGCATTGAGAAGATAGCAGTAACTAATCTATATTATTTACAGTGCTCTATTTATGTACTGAAGGGTACCTTTACAATATTTCAGTTTGTGGTAGGGTTCCTCCACATCCAACAGGTAACACGGAATGAGTGATGGATGAGGGGGTTTAAGTAAGGCGTTCCTGTCAAAAGATCTATAATTAATCTTGTAAGGGTACCACACAGTAGACATTATATTGTTGATTGTGAACCAAAAGTTTATTCATACCCACAATCGATAAATTATAAATCCAAATAGTCATATAAGCAATGCAATACTAAATTGATAAAATTGTATTAACAAAAGGTATACAGCAAAGTAAAGGTATCTCAACAATATAACATTGAAGTATTAGAAATGGCACTCTACTATTATAAAACACTTTACTGTACTGTATTAAACAATATTAAATGAAATTAAGCCAGAGAAGGCATGAACTTCAGAAAAGGACAATACACTAACGGTACAAAAACTTAAATGAGTTTCAGGGAAGGGTTACTAAAATTTTACGGTAGCGCTCGATTTTATTCAAAAATTTTCAAAGTGCTCAGCACCACGAAAAATATAATTTTTTTCTTCCGCTTTCAAAACTTGTTTTGACGCTGAAAAACTATCAAATAGTATTATTGAACAGTATTAAAACACTTTGTGGGCAAAAATATTTCATTTTGGATGTATAAAGAGCCGATAAAATTTAGCGCGCAAAAAAACATTTTTTTTGGGAGGTTTTTTGAAATTTTGAACAGGTTAACTCTTATGTGTGCTTATGAACTTAATATTAGCTAATGCGGCATATTAAAATGTATCAGAAACCGAAATATCTAAGCTTTTGTTTGAAATTAACCTATCGATAATCCTGAAAAACCTCAAAAAATGACCATTTTTAGGGCCAAAAATCGGTTTTTTTCAAATAAAACCATGTTACCCCCATTTTCAACACTTCCCACTATCACTAATCGATTCAGGGGCCAAAAATACGTCTTTTAAGACATGTCTGATGACTCTGGTGTATCGAGCAGAAAATCCCCGTAACAGCTCCTACTAAATGGTTGGATA